ACTATATGCCAGGGAATGAACATGCTAGGTGCTGTGCCAGGTACTGGGTAGAGAGAAAAAGAGATGCTACCTCTCCCTTAAAGACCTCCTGAACCCAGGTCTTTCTGTGGCCACCACATGCCTTCCCAGCCTTGTAGGACTGCAGAACTTGTCAAAGAGGACTATGTCATGGGCTGGCCTGTGGCTCACTCGGGAGCCATATAGGTTAGCTCACTGGCTGAGCGTGGTGCTGACAACACCAAATCAAGGGTTAAGATCCCCTTACCGGTCATCTTTTAAAAAAAAAAAAAGAAAGAAAGAAAAAAAAAAAAGAGGACTATGTCATGCTAAACTTACCCTCATTAATAAGCAGGGGCCTCCAATAATCAAATGGTTATTTAATCATTGGCTTCCGGGTGACAGGTGTGTCCTTTAAATCTCTCCCCCCCACACACACACCTCCAAAGTTATGCTAAATTACAAAATCACCTCCAGGCAAAGGAGGAGTTTGTATAAAAAGCATATTTATTTATTTATTTTATTTATTTATTTTTTTTTTAAAGATGACCAGTAAAGGGATCTTAACCCTTGACTTGGTGTTATCAGCACCGCACTCTCCCGAGTGAGCCACGGGCCGGCCCCTCACACCTTTAAATATGCTTTTTAGGGCCAGCCCGTGGCTCACTCGGGAGAGTGTGGTGCTGATAACACCAAGTCAAGGGTTAAGATCCCTTTACTGGTCATCTTTAAAAAAAAAATAAATAAATAAAATAAATAAATAAATATGCTTTTTATACAAACTCCTCCTTTGCCTGGAGGTGATTTTGTAATTTAGCATAACTTTGGAGGTGTGTGTGTGGGGGGGAGAGATTTAAAGGACACACCTGTCACCCGGAAGCCAATGATTAAATAACTATTTGATTATTGGAGGCCCCTGCTTATTAATGAGGGTAAGTTTAGCATGACATAGTCCTCTTTTTTTTTTTTTTCTTTCTTTCTTTTTTTTTTTTTAAAAGATGACCGGTAAGGGGATCTTAACCCTTGATTTGGTGTTGTCAGCACCACGCTCAGCCAGTGAGCTAACCTATATGGCTCCCGAGTGAGCCACGGGCCAGCCCATGACATAGTCCTCTTTGACAAGTTCTGCAGTCCTACAAGGCTGGGAAGGCATGTGGTGGCCACAGAAAGACCTGGGTTCAGGAGGTCTTTAAGGGAGAGGTAGCATCTCTTTTTCTCTCTACCCAGTACCTGGCACAGCACCTAGCATGTTCATTCCCTGGCATATAGTAGGAACTCAATCAACATTATTTTCTAACTGCATGATGCTGGGCAATTTACTTAACCCCTTTGAGACTAGGTAGCAAGTAAATGCTACACCCACTTGGAAGGGTATGCTAAGGAGAAAATGAGCTAACATTCATAAAGCCCCACTCAGTGCCTGATGCTGGCAGGTGTGTGACAATTGTTGGTTCTCTTCCCCTTTCACTTCCTGTGTGCTTCCTCCCCCCACTCCCCAACTATGAGGTATTTAAGTCAGGGACTTTGTCTACCTTTCTCCATATACTTAGGGGTAATTTCGATTTATTCACTCATTCAGTGGCTCTTGGAGCATCTACAATGGACAAAAGCTTCGAGTTGAGAGAGAACAGGCATATTCAGGAACCTGGAGTAACTGAATATGAACCAAAGAGGCTTCAAGGAGGAAATGATGAGAAATGAGGCTAGAGTGGTTAGTCTGGATTAACTCTCAAAGGGCTTTGTAGGTTGCACGAGACTGTGGACTTTATCCTGTAAGGCAGAGGATTGCCATGGAATCAGGGGGTGTCAGGAACTTATTTATTTATTTTGCTTTATTTATTTATTTTGTTTTATTTATTTACTTATTTAGGCAGCTGGCTGGTATGGGATTATTTTGCTTTATTTTTACTTTAGAATGCTTTGTGGTTCTCAAACTTTAGCGTGCTTAGGAATAACCAAGGAAGCTTGTTAAAAGGTGGATTCTAGGGTCATACTGCCAAGAGGTCCAAGAATTTGTATCTGAACCAGCACCCTAGGTGATTCAGATTCAGGTACACATGGGAGTACTTTATTTTATTTTATTTATTTTTTTTCCTTTTTGTCTTATTTCGTGTACGGCAACGGATCGCAACCCTCAGTGTTGCCCCCGTACCGGACCGGGACCGGCAACGGGATCGCAAACCTCGGTGCTGCGCCTGCACCTCACTCAGCCAGTGAGCGGGAACCGGTGTGTATGTGGGATCCGAACCCTCGGGCGGGAGCGCCACCGCACTCTCAACGGGATCGCAAACCTCGGTGCTGCGCCTGCACCTCGCTCAGCCAGTGAGCGGGAACCGGGGTGTATGTGGGATCCGAACCCTCGGGCGGGAGCGCCACCGCGCTTCCCAAGCGGCGCCGGGCCGGCCACATGGGAGTACTTTAAAACCATAAGACGAATTAGGAGGCTATCGCAGTAGCCCTGGACGGAGCTGATCCGAACTAGGTAGAATTAGGCTTCTCTTGCCTCCTCTGATCAATCTGCTTACCTTGACCTGTCTCACATCTAAGGCCTTAAGCCTCTTCCTCCCCAAGAAGGACTAGCAGAAGCCTATTCAATGGAGCTCCACCCAGTACTACAGGCTAAAGAGATGTGGACAAATTTGGTAGGTACAGCCGCCCCCTGGCCCATCATGCAACGCCCATGTTCGTGGGTGGGGAAACTGTTGCTAAACCACTGGTAGGTGACCTGCCTCTGGGTCTAGGTTTTGTAGGTAGCAGAGCAGCTCCCTAACTGCAATCTATTGAGAGTCTGCCCTTGACACAAGGGTTTCTACAAAAAAATTTAAAAACAGAGAAAAAGAAAAAGAAGAAAAAAACATTTAGTAGGTATTTAGAAGGTGGAATAGACAAGACTTGGAGACTGATTGGATGGGGAGTATGGGAAGGACAGGAGGGAGTCAAGAATGCCCCCGGGCTTTTTGGCTTGGGGCAGTTGTTGTATGGTGTGCCCTTCCGTGTAAGAGTGGCAGGTCAGTCAGGGAAGGTAAAGTGAGGCGTTTTGAGATTTGAGTTTGAGGAGCCTCTGGGACATCTGAGTAGAGATATTCAGAAGTCAGTCGGAATACAGAAACTCAGAAGAAAGATCTGGACGGGAAATATAGATCTGAGACTCATTAGCCAATAGATGGTAATAGAAGCGGGTGAAATCAGAGGGAATATAGCGATAAGAGAAACGGGTCTAGAACAAAACCTGAGGAACAGTAAAGGGAAGGGCTGAGGAAGAAAAACATTGCAAAGACTGCACAGGCTGGAGGTGAGAGGAAACTATCTCCTGCAAAGCCACAGGGAGTTCAAAAGAAGTGACAAATTGGGAAACACCCTGGATTCAGTAAAGAAGTCTGAGATGACCTTGTAGAGAGCCCTTCTAGTGCAACTATGGGGACAGCACCAGATGGCAGTGGATTGAGGAGAGAGTGGGAGGTGAGGGGGTGGAGACAGCTGGCATGGACGTTTTTTCAAGCTGTTTGGCCAAGAATGGAGAGATATGGTGGTAACTTAAAAGAACTGAGATTCCTTTTTTTCCTGTGCTAATGGAGGAGCAGAAGAAAATAAAGGGACAAAGGAAATAATAAAGCGACTGAGAGAAGCGGGATGGAATCCACTGCACAGATGTCGGACTGTTCTTCAAACAGTGGGAACCTACTCCTATTTTTTAACCGGATGGAAGGAGGAAAGAATTTGGAAGCTTGCTGTTGGGTAGTTCTTGCTGATGGATTCGGAAGTCGGAAGAGAGGCCATGAGTAAGAAGTTTTTGTTTGTTTATTTTTGGCGGCTGGCCGGTAAGGGGATCCGAACCCATGACCTTGGTGTTACACCACCACAATCTCAATTGAGTTAACCCACCAGCCCCCGGAGGTTGCTGAATGAATAAATGATCATTTTTCTCAGCTAGACAAAGGCCAGGGTTACCAGCAGGACGGAAGAGGCAAGAACCTGGAGGGAACCTGGTTGCGGCTGAAGCTTTAATATTTAAAGGTTGAGGCTGACTGAGAAGTGTGATGTTCCTTTAACCGTGGGGAGGACTGCATTTGGTCCACTGAACAAGGTTTTATCCAGAACCTCATGCTCAGGCTTTGATTTAGGGTCCCCCTTCCTCGTGTGGTAGGTCTGCCTTCCCTGGCCTATGGCTCACATCTGAGGCCTCAAACCTCCTCGTCCCCACTAGAGACCAGCTGGAAGCCATTTTGATTATGTTCCACCACATAAGGAGGACAATACAGCCCCGCCCAGAGTCAGGCGCGCCCCCGCGGCGGGCTGGGTGCGCGTGTCCGCGCCTCTTCCCGCCGGCCTGGCGGGCGCCTGGCCCAGGCCGCGGCGGCGCGGGGCTGGGGAGCGAGGGGGGTTATGTAAGCGCTGCGCGCTCCCGCGA